CCCCGACAATATACAACAAATGTACTTTTGATGGTTTTGTTCTAATTGTAACGATTTCACATCACACCTAGTTAATGAATTAAATCCGCTTCCTTTGTAGTGCAACTACTGCATTAAAAATTTACAAAGTAGGAATCTCTAGTGAAGTTATGTTTGTTTTACAAAATCAATACTGTCGTTTCCTTATAGGGTTATAAAACAACTTTGATATTTGTCATTTATTGAGAACATATATAGCTTATAAGATAGTTAACACATTCGTTAGATCAAAATAGAATTAATGAACCATTGGTGTAAACATTGATGTAAACATTATCAAGCTAGTCCTGCAACATATTGTATTTAAATGCTATCAAGAATCAATATATTGTAACCTTCGATTTCATGTAATAGAACATATTGCAATTGTGAGAATGTTGTTGTTAGCATTAAAGTGATAAAAAATGTTTCTAGTCGAAGTAGGACATGTATCTGTAATTTCTCATTTGTATTCACTTGTCGGTATTACCTCTTGTATCGAAGATTGCAAATTGTTTCTTTTTGAGAAAACACATTTTTTGTTAACAGTTTTCTTCTGTTAAAATATTTCATATTCATACAATTTAGAAAAAAAACAACATATTAAAGGTAAACGATGTATGTTTATGAACATGCTCCAAGTCAGTTAATCCCATCTGTCTAGACCTAATTTGATGTCTGTTTGTTGTTGGGTTCCTTTTCACACATATCCCATTTTTTTAACTGATTCGTCTGAAGCGAGACACATTGGGAATAAACAGGGTTTATATCAGCATTAGGTATCCTAGATCTTTTCTGACATTTCTTGTGAAGGCCTGTGTATATCAGTATTCGAAATAAAGAACAACGTTATCTTTTACGGAGTCTGTATCAATTCTCTGCATATGGGTCTATGCAAACCGGGAATGTTTTGCAAAATAGTTCTAGAGTTGATACGATTTTTAAAATGAATAGGTGGAAATATTCATCACAATTTGGTATTAGCATGATTAGATGATTAAAAGACCACTGATGAAACCCATCTCCGAAAGTTCAGTGAATGCAATTTGTGAGGGTAGCTATCAATCAAAGCCTATGAAAAATGTACACACAAAAGTTGTTCATCTAATCCAATTTAAGCATTGCTTAGGACTTTTCAGAAATGGGTGAAATTATGTCATCAAAATCATTGCCACCTTCGTTTTGAGCCAAGGGAAAATGTGTTAAAAATTTCAAAATGATTAGTCAACAGTACGTACAGTTCGCAAAAAAAGCCAGTGTATACAAGCGGATGACGACATCGCACATCATTCACATAACGTGTGCACAACTTTCCAGTCGTACAAAAAAATAATTCGAATCTAGATGATGAATTGTCTCCTCAGCTATGAATATACCCTAACATTGTAAAACATATTCGTATTAGAAAAGTGACACTACCTTTTCTCATTGATTCCTTCGAAAAATTAAGAAGAACCCAACATTAAAAGTCGGAGGAGGGACAGATAACACCATGACCACATGACAGTCCACAAAACACAATACATAAAACCAAAGATTAATCAACACGAATTCTGCTTTAACCAAAGGTCAACGTTGTTTTTTCCCAGAAAGGTAAGAAGTTCTTGCTTCACTTACTGGTCCAATTTTCTGCCGACAGATTGATTATTTTGTTCATTAACCTGGCCTTCCAGACTCTTAGAATATCGGCATTTGTTAGTGAGCGTACATGAAGTAGTTAGGCCTTTGAATATTGTTTTAACCTTATACCTAGGTCACACATTCACGGATTTGACGCCGGATTAGCTACGGATGCGATCCAGCATCATTCGTGGCAATCTGTATTAGTCCGTAGATTTCCGTATTGTAACCGTAGTTATACGTAGTAGTACTTGTATATCCGGGACAATTTTTGAACATGCGCAAAATTTGACCAAGGATCAAACAACCGTAGTATATCCTTGCTAAACCGTATTTGAACGTACTGATCCGTTTTAGTCCTTATTAAAACCGTATTAATCCGTACTTATTCGTATGCCCGAAGTATTTCTACGGTCTGTTCCGGAGAACTACGTATTAGTACGGTTACATCACGTATTTGTTAAGGGCATACGATACAGTTTTGATCCCATAATGAAAATTTGATGAAAATTTGCAAATAGGCTATTTTTTACCTGATTAAATCAAATATGTAATAAAAAATATACCTTCATGTGCTATTTTTTGAGTAAAATGAGTTCGAAATTTCAGATATTTTCTCAAAATTCGAATTTGTCACGGAACGGCACGATTTCATAACGTTGCAATACGGATAGCTAGGGATCACCAAGGGTTCTTAAAGTCTTTTACAATTTATTACGTTACAACACGACAAATTACGGAATATTACTGCCCACGACAAACTGGCATCAGGCTTCTGCATAAATAACTTACTTATAGGGCCCCTAGTCTGTGTCTTGCCGTAGAGGTATAATACATAACATTATCCAACATAAACAATCAACAACTGATGCTTGCAATTAATTGACTGGAATTGGATATTGATATGGCACAAAATGCCAGGACAGTGGTCGAACTACTTGATGACAGACGTAGATGTGACCGGCGGCAGAGGAGATGGTGGAATTGGGACTGGCTTCTCCGAAGACTTATCCATGGCCAGTATTAGACACTCATGGCTGAACTGTGTGCGGAAAATCCAGATGCATTTAAGAACTTTAACAGAATAGACCCAAATATGATTCAAGAACTGCTAAATGCCGTTGGTCTGACGATTACGAATAAAACCACCTGGTACAGACAGAGCGATAACTGATTTAATAAAACAAAACAAACAAAAAACATTAACTGCCATAAAGAAAAGAGAAATGATTGACGGCTTAGAAAATGTGGCGATTCGTACTATTCTGTATCAGACCGTTCTTACTCGTACTAACCCTTACTTATACCGTAGCAAACCGCTGTTTATCCGCAGTACATACGCCCCGACACGTGCCGTTGCGTATTAAACCGTGTCATTTCCGTATTAAATCGTGTCGTACCGTAAGTCATGTCGCCAAATGACCCCTTTCCTACTTCACCAGTGGTAGATACGTGAAAGCCCGTAGTCATATCGTTGTGCATCCATATCAGACTAACGGAAGCTGCAATTCCGGGATCATCCGTGAGATTTAATCCGTAGTGGAACCGGCGAGATGATCCGTAAATGTGTGACCTAGGCATTACTAAAAGTGAGTTTGTTTTTGTTAAATTAAAACATAGCTAAATTCATATTGTACTTTTACTTTCAAATTTGCAAAAGTATCACCTCCTCAAAAATATCTAAATATGTGAGATACTTATATAATATGAATGTTGCTTAAATTTAAATATTGTATGTTTGTAAATATTGTCATGTTTGTCTTTGTAACAACCCAATATTTTGATTTTACACAAATAAAATGATTTGATTTGATTTGATTTGTATGTATTGCTATACAGTAACGAAAACCATGTCGATACTCACATGTTGGCATTTCACAAGGTCATGTCTTTCTCAGAGTATTGATGGCGTCTTTGCAAAAATATATATGTTAGATATATACTGATACTTTACTCTTGGAGAACATGATGTATTTATTGGTTGTAAATGGCTTTGAACTAACTTTCAGCAATTGCGATACGATTAGGTTGGTACTTTTGTGTCTTTTGTTTTTATGCTAATTGATTTTTTTTTGTGTTTCGTGTGACAGTCTGATGAGAAAAGCCATTTCCAACTGAATTTTACAGTTTTTCTTATGTTGTGCGTTATACCACTGTACCAGGTTAGGAGATGATTGAGCACAACCATGTTTAACTCCGTTACATTCTTTGTATGCTTAACACAAGTCAAGACCTGTAATTCGGTGGTTGTCATTGGTTGCTGTTGTCCGTCATATTTGTTTTTCGATTATTATTTTTCTCATAAATCAGGCCGTTGGTTTCTCGTTTTAATTATTTCACATTTTTTTTTATGTCGAGGCCTTTTATAGTCGACTATACGTCATGGATTTTGCTCATTGTTGAAGGCCGAACGGTGACCTATAATTGTTTACCTCAACGTTATTTGGACTATGATATTTTGATAGGAGCCAATAGACAATCAAAAGTGAAAATGCCTATTAATTAAATTCTAAGCAAACAATATATAGGTCACCCTATTATAAGTAAACTATATATAGGTAACTATAAGTCCCTCTTACGAGATTACTAATTTATCTTACACCATGATCAGATGAAAACCTTAAAACATCCATTGAATCCAAACCGCATTATCCATAAATTATGCTGACCCGAATAATTTAGTCGTTATTTTCCATTGCTCTAGGGATGATACCACCATGGTTTTCCCCTCTTTGTCTTTGATCAATTGGCATTTTCTAAAAATTGTGCAGAATTTAACTTTGTTTCAAATAAAGAAATACTTGGCATGTGTAATATTAATCCCGTCCATTACCTCAGTGAAAATTTAACACAACATTTCATTACATATAAGAAAATAACCTTCACCGGATTAAACCAATCAAAGGTTCGCCCCTTTTTCCCCCTGTTTACATCTTTTAGTAACCATGTCAACTCAAGTTTCTAAAATATTTTATAGACACAACAAATAAAAAAAGAAACACCCAAGATGTTTATGACTCAGAAAAAAAAATCAGCAATGAAATGCAGGGTTAATTTCCCACTACTTCTACTCAAATTCAAGTGAATGTTTTTTGGACCCTTTCGATGTGACATACTAAGTTTTGGTGGTATTACACCTCTACGATGGTTACATAAACGAGTGGGAGGGTCTATTAAAGGGGGGTGGGGTGGGGTTGTGAATTGATTGGATTAAAATTATGCATGTATAAATTAACCTGTATATAATTGATTGTGTAATTTTGACAAAGATATGTGGATTTGAGCCACAACTAGCAAATGTAGGTCAGATTTTGTTTTTCAGGAATAAATGATTTTCTGTACTACTTTTGATTAAGATAAAAGAGTTACAAAACTAATTTATTGTTCTCACCATTCAAATATTCAAAATAAATAATTGTTGTTTAATTTTCACTGTTACAATAATAACTACAACATATAACAAAGAAAAAATAAAAGCAATTTTACATAAAAGCGCCATTTCCTTCTCCCAATCATCAAAAAAATATACATTTGGCATTGAGCATATACTATATTTAACACTTTTCATGCAATTCAAATTTAAACCTGAGTAAAATCTCTAATAAACAACTTTTGTTTACAATAATAGTATGATTTAAATACAGATTCAAAACGCCTATCACTATTATGCTATGGTTTACAGTTGTATAGATTATGCTATGGTTAACAGCTGTGTATATTATGCTATGGTTAACAGCTGTGTATGTTATGTTATGGTTAACAGCTGTGTATATTATGCTATGGTTAACAGCTGTGTATATTATGCTATGGTTAACAGCTGTGTATATTATGCTTTAGTTTACAGTTGTATATATTATGCTATGGTTTACAGTTGTATAGATTATGCTATGGTTTACTTTACTGCTGTGTTCTTGTATATCATGCTATGGTTCGCATCTTCTTCTTTTATGCTTTGATATTGTATTTTGACCGAAAGTTTTCTGGTACTATTATTATGTATCTGTTTTGTCTGTTTAATATAGTTTACACCTTATATGTTTAAAGTCCGTTTTACTTTTTTACAAAGTGCTTTATCTTAAAACAATTGCATAAAATTGCATTGTTTAAAAATATTTTCTCTTGTTTATACATCTTTCAGACGGTATAGCCCATTGGACTATATCATAATCTATATATTCAGTACTAGAAACCTATAACCACAGAATATCTATGTAACAATTAGACTAGATCAAAATCTATGAAGTTCCAACATATAACCACAGAATATCCATGTAACAATAATGCATGACCGTGTGATATGTTTTTGTGTTACAGAAATATTTTAAAATATTTTGAGGAAATGAAGACAGAGTACCACTCTGAATTCCAATATCCAGGTTTAGAGTAAATTGAAAGAAACATTTTGAATTGGCATGACGGGCATCTCTCAGTTAGTTATCTAAATAAAATGTCTTTGTTTATGAATATTTTATGCGTATTCTCATCTACTGTCTTGGTCATCTATTAACAGAGAATACATTGAAACAGCTGCACTTTGATCGGCGTAAGGAAAATCGAATTCATGTCCTATTGAAGATGTCATAGAATCTGGTCTGGATGGAATAAATAGAGAGTTCTCCGCGTCAACTGGACTGTGTAACTCTTTGTGTACTGCAGGTATTAAAGGCGGTTCGTCGTCATCACAGTTTGTCTTCAGAGTTTTGGTTCTACCTCTCTAAAATAAAACAAAAAGCAATAAATGTGAGGTTTCCTTGATTTAATCCACGGACAATTTCATATACACAATTGTAAAAAAAAATAGTCTATAATGATTATTATTATTTTGTATTTCATGTATATTCCGTTAATTTTGACGAGTGATTCTACATCCTACAGCAAGAAATCTTGCGAAATGAAATACTTATATATTTATTCTTGTGTTTTTTTGTTCACTTCCTTTTCCGTATTTACTCTACCTCATAGATTGTATTTATTGTGTTATATGATCGTTAAACATACCTGACATCTGTTCCGAATCTTTTCTATCAGAGACCTACAATGGAAATAAAACACATTATTATCCATGCTAGAGGGGCATGACTGTGCGTGATGTTAATTACACAGCTACGCCCGGTTGGAACGATGCCTTGTGTCAAGATAAAGCCACGCTCTATGCACGTTAAAATTCATAAACCCTTGCAAAAATTCATCGAGGGGTTCCGTAGGTTGCCCGTTGGAAGCGAAAACATCTGCATCTATTCATCATAACTTCATTTTCCATTTTCCAATGACAGTCGAAATTCCCAACCTTCTTGCCGATCGACATATTTTGTACAACGTATGTTGTTATTTCTCGCCCAGAATATGCATGAAATATATGCCACTGGACATGAACCAAGCTACAATCAATTATACTGTTCTGTTTTTTTCTTAAAGCAAGATGTAATGTAGTCTTTATTTCAACTTTGTGCTCGAGACACTGGACAATTACCGATGTTGGAACACACGTTGGAGTACAATACTACGTTATGTCAACGGGAAATCAATAGAAAAGTTCTCAACTTATAGTTTGATCAGCTTTATAGCTTACCACCACGGCTTCCATTTGAACCCCTAATTGGTCCATAATTAAGGACTTGTACTAGACACCTCGCCGAATTATCGCCCCCACTTTCCATCCCACAATAGAAACCTTGATATACGGTATAGCAATTACACCTGGTTTACATACTAGGTGTGGTTAAGTTTTAACGCATACTTTGATCATTAATCTGCATTTCCATCTTTACCAATGTAATTTTTTAGAAAGCAAATAACATTGATTGATAGGTACAAATACAAGATTATTTAGACAAGTGCAAATTAGATATATACAATTGATACTTGCCTCTAATTTGCAACCTTTATGTTTTTTTCTGTGATACTAGTATAAAAAGTTAATCAAAGTTTATCAACATTTAGAAGCCAAATGTATCAAAATATCTTGGCATATTTATTGTAATAGCTTGTTACTTCAAAACATTCATATCTTCCGCAGAACACTCCACTGAAGTATGAAAACAAAATTGGAACATAGTCAACATTCTATAACGTTTGATTTTATTCTTTACAACCAAATATTTCAAAACATTCACATCCAGTTTATTAATCAGCTGTTGTATGGGGATGAAAACTAAAGGCAATAATTTAAAATATTTCCTCATGATACAACATGAAAAGAATAATTTAAATAGATACGCATGCAGAAATTGTAGATTAACACACAAGAACAGAAAAAAAGTAATAGTTCAGTAATAAGACTGAGACAAAACCAAAGTGTTATTAATTTACACTTACCGTTTTATTACAAAGTTTAAAAAGCAAGGCACAAATACGAATATGTAGACTAGAACTAACAGGGCCCAAAGTACATGCCAGTTGTTTGGTCCAATGTAGGATACACCTGAGTCTATTACACTATTTCCCATGGTAATTTCCGTTGTATTATTCATGTGTGTCTTTGCATTATCTTCTTTAACAGAATTTGTTACACTGTGAGTCGTACCGTCGACACAGTAATGCCAATACTTTTCAGATGAACACAACCTTTTGAATTCTTTGCAATGCAGATGAATTTTACAATCCGACAATAAATTAATATAAAACTTTTCTTCCGTTTGTTTGAGGCATACTTCTAGTAGGATAGTTATTTCCTGGCAAGAGAAGTTTACTGTAGAGATAGACTGGAGATCAGTACAGAAACCTGGCCACCATGCTGGTGGACACGGAAATGACCACAAATGATTCTGTATAAATGTACTGCTGCTAACATCCACTTGAATACCTAAATTGATGACATCCCTGTTAGAGGGTGGTGAAGGAAAATTATAACCTGCACACTCCTGCAAATACAAAAATGGGTCGCGTTAACGAGACAATGATATCTTTAATCTGGCTATTTTTTTTTGTTGTACTTCAGTTAAATAATAGTCTGTTTTTTACAACAAATAAGTTTATGGATATGCTATACTTATACTTTTTTTATACTTATTCTGATGTTTATATAATGATCATCGCAAGGCAATATAGACATCACTTAATAAAACTGGTTACTACTGCAATTATGTATTTTTACACGTGCATTCTTAGTGAAGACAGATCGACTCTCTTGAGCGACAAAAATACCGTGAATGTATTCATCGAAGGTAAAGTTCACTTTTATTTTTGATACCGCAAGTGAACCTTTTAGAACTAGCTGTAGAACAATTGTCCTCTATAACTGCGCGTTTTATTTGTATAGTTCCTTTTTTAAGAGGGTTTCTTATCGTCGAGTTGCAAGTTGCGAGTTAGGAAAGTCGAGTTTCGAGTTACGAAAGTCGAGTTTCGAGTTACGAAAGTCGAGTTGCTAGTCACGAAGGTCGAGTTACGAGGTACGAAGATCGAGTTGCGAGTTACGAAGGTCGAGTTGCGAGTAGCCTGGCATCCTGACCCAATCTTATACTTCGTCGATAGGACCAGGCGTTATACAATCCACATGACCAACTGTCTGAACAGGACTGAAATACTGCGCATGTGCATGTTCTATAAACAAGGAATATATCGATCGGATCGTTAATCAACAGTTGATTCACGATGTTAATCAATAACGTTTGAATTATTTATGCTAAATTTTTCGAAATTTGCATTTTATATGAAATGAAAAATATTTTTCAATAAATTCGTGACAATATAAATATTTCCCGCCTTGTGTCAAGAAATGACGCTATCCCACGATGCATCATTATAACATCCAAATGACGAAACCATGTCGTTGTATTCCGCCTGGCTCTTCTGTCGAGCAGTGAGCCAGGATCCCAGGCTAGAGTTGCGAGTTACGAAAGTCGAGTTGCGAGTTACGAAGGTCGAATTGCGAGTTACGAAATATGAAAATTTTATATATAAAAAGGTATACATTTTTTAAATTTGAATTATATGAAAAGGGTGGGGTAACAGAACCCCAGCGGCACCCCTATCAATAAAGTATTGAAGTACAACCCCCCCCCCCCCCCCCCCCCCCCCCGGAGACGTAACGAGACAGATATTAATTACGTGACGTCATACACATATCGTGGCGGATATAGAATAGTTGCAGTTGACTGTATTACATATACAATGTGTCTACTCAGTATATAATAAACGTTTTTTTTTATATAATGCACAATGGCTATCTAATTCATTTTTTTGGGGTTCATGCGTCCTTTAAGGATACATTTTTTTTCAAATATTTCCAGAAATAAAACACCAAATGTGTTTTTTTCTCATTCAAATCCGAACAATTTATTAGAAACTTAATGTCAATATATATATTTTTCTCCTAATTTTCAGTAGAAATAATCTTTAAATTTATTCACTTCCATTCTAGATTTTTTTTCAAGGCATTCAGAATCAAACAATTCTTTAAAAAAACCTACGCCTCTCCAAAATCTGGATGGCAGATGCCTGTGAAAGTACAACTTGATGCCATACTTACCCGTGTAAAACTTTTTTCAGGTGCTCTCGTGACAGGCTATGCATGATATTAAAATGAAAAGGAAGCACATTTTATTTTAGAAAAATACCCAGCTGATATCTGAAACTACAACATTTGTATCAAGGCTGCATGCAGGTAAAACATTAAACTTGTGACTGACAAGGCTTCCGTGCTCATACCATAAAAACACACGCCATAACATTCCTTAAAACTGTTCCTTTATTGTTTGTAACAGCGGTATAGCTTATTGTAGAATAACGTCTTTCCAAATTAAAAAAAATCCATATTATGATCTCCTATGCCACGAAGTTACCATAATGCCATAGAAAGACATCTATAGCATGCTTATTTTTTGCGTTGTAGTATTCAGATATAGATACATACATTGAACAACTCGATTATTAACTATTTGATATATATATATATATATATATATATTTTTTTATACGTGTGCATGCAAAACAAATTTCTTGGTAGAGGGGTCTAAATACAGCATAAACAACATTTTCCAAAAGACCAAAAAAGTGAAAAAGTATATTTTAACAAAACGCATTTGACTAGCAGGTCGAACAACGGTTGTTCTTAAACCCTGCTGACTGCCATTGGCGATTGCCAAATAAACGGATCACCAGATGTAACAAAATGGATCTTAACTATTAATTTAATTCCAAAAAGAAAACAATAAACTTGCGGAAAAGATGGTATACCGCAAACAAAAGGTGCAAAAATTAGTACACCATATCCGGATTTCGACAATTAATGTCTCTTCAGTGATGTTAGGAATCGAAACAGTATTTGGAAGGCCATATAATTTACCTCAATTTAGGATAGACTCTTGAATATATATATATGCACTCTCCGCTTGGGGTTGAATCACAAAGTTAACATAGTTCAAAATTATTTAATTCATCACATAAAGCACATAGCATATCACATTTCTGACTAATTCATGAGATATTTTCCCAAGTTAAGTATGCAATTGTGCCTTTATCACCCTAAACCTTTGCGAAAGACGAAGAGTTAGCACTTGGTATGCTAATGAATATCCTTTATTCAAGCGTCACTGACGAGTCTTGTATAGACGAAAAGCGAGTCTGGCGTAGAAAATATTATAAGCCTGGTACCTTTGATAAGTATTTACTTTAGGCCTAACACAGTGCCATATTCTGTGAGATGTCGATAATTTGCAAGTATATTTCATTTGTCTACATGGTTTATTTTCTTATGCTTGATTTGTTAAGTACGGTATACATTTTATCTTGTATCTACAGTATATCCTGTTTTATTTTAGAAAATGAACAATGTCGCTCTCATGAAAGAAATTTAAGCGTGCGTGCCTTTGCAACATATAGACTCTTATAAATAAGTATCACACAGCTCTTTTAAATCATGCAATCAAAATACCGGGACCCTTCCTCGTGCAGTGTATAACTAAATTCTGGTACATGTATGTTTTGTTTATCAAATGCGAAGTAAACCTGAAAATTTTGTTTAAAAAATCAGACGAGACGACCGTTTATATATACGACCGTTTATATATATAATTCTTAAGAATTTAGATTAACATAATATTTTTTGTAATTCGCAACTCACCTTAGTAACTCGCAACTCGACCTTCGTAACTCGCAACTCGACTTTCGTAACTCGCAACTCGACTTTTGTAACTCGCAACTCGACCTTCCTAACTCGCAACTCGACCTTCGTAACTTGCAACTCGACCTTCGTAACTCGCAGCTCGACTTTTGTAACTCGCAACTCGACTTTTGTAACTCGAAACTCGACTTTTGTAACTCGCAACTCGATACTCGACAACAAGTGAATCTCCTTTTTTAACTGTTTCGTGTTTTGTGTTCATTTTTCTTATAATACTGGTGATTACACCAAGGGCTTAGTTTATGGCTATGATGATTTAAAGTCGAACCGTTATACAGTCTGACAACCTGACCATTAGATCCGAGGCGGCAGAGGGTTTTTGGTAATGGCTGTATTCGGTCAGACACTGATATCATTTGTTTTTGTGCACTAGTATCAAGAGTATGATGACAAAATGTCGATTAATTCCAATTACAGAAAGCTGTTCCATTTTTTATTCAATTTATACTTTTGTTGGGTTGTTTTAAGTGATTTAATTTGATTATGCAGTCTGCTTCATTTCGCTGATAAATGCAAACTATGGACGACTGAAATAAAAACACGATATTGAAGATGAAATGGATGTAGTAAAAGGAATAAAGCCAATGGCTGTCCGAGGTCAAAGCAATTTTGCAACTGCTATTAGTAATCAGAGTAAGTTTGACAATTGCTGTCAATGATCAAAGGATATTGGGAAATGGCTGTTTAAATTCAAAGAAATTATGATAAAGGCTGCCCCACATCAGTGGAATTTAGGCTATGGCTTTAATTTCCGAGGTTAGAAGAATTTTGCAATAACTGTAAAAGACAGAGGAACTTTGACAACATATGAATTTTGATAATATTGTCCGCGATTTAAAGTATGTACAGAGGTATGTAGCAGCTGTCTGACATCAGATGAGTATCGGCAGTTGCCGAGATTAAAGGACTTAAGGCAATAGGTGTCCGATGCCATGACCATTTAGGCAATGGCAGTGATCTCACACAGCCATTGCAAAAACTTCTTTAATCTATAGCACATAATGCTAAATAATATCGGAGATCTGGATTATAAGGTTTTGTTCAGTCAAACAATAGCAGAATTCTATATCCCAAACTAATGCTAAATAGAAAATAAATGGTGAAATCAGCAGTTCATCTTCATGCTTATTCATCATTTTATAATTGATGATGAAATAAGGATGTTTGATACTGCTGAGAAGATAATGGAATTTTCAGAAATTTTATTGGAAGGATGCAATAAACTGCGGCGTTACGAAATATTCATAATCCGGAGATCACAAAAATATATTAAAAGAGGCTCTTACAGGAGCTTACATTGCTCACATGGTAAAATATTCCCTATTGAAATTTGTGTTTCATCTTTTTCGCGATTAAAACTTTGTTCCTAAATCAAATTAATTACTTTCAAATATATAACTTTTCGGGTGCCTTTAAGTGAAGCATCTACTTGCATTTCATGGCTGGTTGTCAAATTTTTGATAAGCGAGAACTCGAGGAACACATTCTAACATAGATACCCTAAGGATGATTGGAACGATGCTCGATTCAACTGGCCAGTGGTTTCAAAGTATTTTTTATAAGTGAACAGACGTTTTTGGAAAGCGAACTTGGACCCAAGTGGGACAGACGAATTTGCTTGTGTCTTCGTCTTTAGGCTTTTTTTTTCTTTTTTTTTTATAATTTTTAACAAAAAAATTTACAAAAATTTACAAGTTTTTATCAAGTAACAGGAAAAGTTGTAGATTAATACATGATTTAGTGATAGGTGATTTTCTCAGCATCAATGACAGTAATTTATATTCCTGTATATTTAATAACAGAAACATGGAGAACAAGTGTAAATACATTTGTAAGTTTCTGTTTGAAACTTTCATTGGTCTCTCTTCATTCTTTGGTCAATAACATAACTTGATGTATGCATCATTCATAAACCAATCATCCATGCACACATCAAGCCGCCGTCATTACACGTCAGCAAGCAGTTCTAATGATAGTAATTAATTCAGACAGGTGTGATCAATAGAAATAGTAACTGTCGTCAATACATTAAAAGGTAATTTAGGGCAACGAGAGCTGCTTGTAGAATACACATGATCAATAAAAATGGCTCCATAAAACAACCTTGGAGCTAAAAAAATGTAATAGCAGCGAGTGTGTTCTTGAAATAATATGTTTTGCTATCTAAAATCAAGATGAGTCAAGCAAACCACGATTATGATGTAGCAGCGTGTTCAAAGCCCGTGTCATATTGATTTTCGCTTTAATATTATACTTGTCGTTTTCTTGATAAATGCATAAAAACTGTTACAATGAAACAAATATTCTTAGTTATTTAACAATGAATGCATTATAAAATGACTACTTACCTCTTTGGAAGCTATATTCTCTACGGAATGCTTTTCAAACTTAGATCACTATGAATGTGTTTTCAATACAATATATCTCAAGAATTCCTATGAATTAATTGAAGTAACAGATGTACGACATGCTGTTTTTAATCCATTTATATATCGACTCAGTAACAACAACTAATATTTTTTCATTTTAACCATTACAAACATGCAATGACTATCTCAAAATCTCATAACATATCATAATTACGTCCATTTTAGTGTTGTCAAATATTGTCTATGCTTTTATAGTCAACACAACTATACAACAGTTGAAGCCGTAATGAAGCTATATTGATTATTTTGTGTGATGTTTTAGTGTTTAGTGCTTTTTGCATTATTAAGTTAACTCATAATAAAAAAGCAAGATTCTTCCAATTAAACTTATTGTATGTCACGGTCAGATGATGACACGGAATCCGCAGTGAACCGTGAACGGTTGCAGGTTTAATCTCCAGAGATTTGTTTAATGATTTTGTCAATATTGTAAAATCAAACCGATAGCATAGGCTTTGTTGGACTTTGGGATGATATTTTTCTATGAAATAACAAATAACAAAGCTCTCTTTATAAACTCCCAGGGTTGACTGGGGTATATTAAAGATGTCTTTCTACCTTTCATTGTATCATTCATTTACTTGCCATTCCCCACATCTTCATGCCAACTCATCTTACTAAAAGGACTAGTGTGAGATATTACTACAACTTGGCATCAGTTTTCCCTGTGATTTTTTTTGGGTCTTTTTAAGACCTTTGCCAAAGCTCTCCACACGTTTTGAAATTATATATCCAGTAGCGCGATACAAGATCTTTAGAGTCTCTCGTCCACATTTGTCTATACCGTAACCGTTAATGCACATCCGACGGAAAAGGTATAGATATTGTAAGTTTCTCCACATGGAACCACTTCAGTAGTCTTAGAATTAAGTAAACAAACGTTTTCGCTAAATGACGGGTTTACCTCAATGAAAAGATACTATGTATATGGCCAATCAATTGAAATTATATGAGTTAACGACAAACTACAAATATAACACAAAAAACAAAACGAACTATAAAGTTTTTTCCTAAATAGGAACAGCTATTTTTAAAAGCTAAAATTTTGTAAAGTTCCGTAGTTTAGAATTTTCGATGATTTTGTTATATAAAATTCATCACATTATTCTCGAAGTTTGGACACGTATGTTCAATACAGATATTGGTAATGGCTGCTTACTTTTCTTTGGTCTGAAATAGGATCCATGTTTATTGCATATATCAGTATTTTTTCTTAAATATTACCTAGCATATTTTGTACGCCTTTAAACTTCTTGCATTTGTACAATTACATTTTCAGATCTTTACATTAATATTTATGCATGAATAACAACATTACACCAAAGTATATCTCACTCACATCGACTTATTTTGTCAGACATCTTCCTGTGAAATATCGAAATACCAAAATCCATTTGTGAAATGGTTATCACGTTTGTTATGATTTTCGTTCGAACAACACATGTTTCTGGATTTACCTCCCTCATTTATGTTCGAGACCAAAAGTTTGGAAAGGCAAAATCAAAAACAAACTGGAGGATCTATAGAGCATTAATATGTAAGCATGAGCAACAGCATTACACCAAAATTTGACTTATTTGTGGATCTTGTCTTAATTGCTGATCATTTTTGCTATTTAAAGTGTCTATCTATCTTTTATAGTTTCCAAAATAATAGGCAAAAACTTAAAATATTGGTAAAAAATCGTCATTAAAGAACCAAAACTCCAATAAAGAGTCGACTGGCGATTTCAGCTTTGTTTATTTATTTGTAAATTTTGTCTTGTTGATAATTTTTGCTGTTTTAAACAGCTATCTATCTATAATTATATAAGAATTGTGGCAGAACACTAAACGAAATTGGTAAAAATCGTCATTAAAAAGCAATAACTTCAATAAAGAGTAAACTGACGATTTCGGCCAATAGACATATTAGCAGATTTTGTCTTACTGTTCATTTTTGCTTGTTTCTATCTATGTATTATAGTTTATCAAATATTAGGCAAAAATGCAAAAAATAAACGGTAAAAATCGTCATTTAAGGGTAACAACTCCAATAAGAGGTCGTCAAACAGTTTCAACCATGTATTTGATTTTAACGAAAGAAATCTCTGTATTATTACACTAAAAATTATTACACTAGGGTTTTCGATATCACAAACTTGTCAAAACATTTACTAAATTGTATCATCGGTATAAGGACGTTATTCGTAAATATCAATCAACGTGCAGACATCTTATACGTTCAGTTATTTCACATCCCATCTTTTGAGGTAATATTCTATACAAAGCATGTAACATGTCGTCATTCACTACCAAAAGCTAACCAAACCTTTAAAACAGACTTATAAAGAAGGGATATAGTTACGGTACTGTTGTCAGGTCATTAAAGATGACATTTTTTAGAAGTAATATTGATTCACCCATAGGGCCTTTGCATCGGAAATAAACACATTTATTCTATAACCAGTTGTTGGCATGATACGGGTTATGTTCTTCTCGTATATTTTATGATGGTATGATACTAAACCTCTAACGGGAGGGATTGTACTTGATTTTCATATGATGAAGACATTAATCTTTCAATTAGTTTAATTGAGGTCTGGAGCTGGCATGTCAGTAACTGCTAGTAGTCCTTTGTTTATTTATGTTGATCATTGTTTCCTCTATTACTTCTAACATCGGACTCGGACTTCTTTTAAACTGAGTTTTACTGTGCGTATTGCTGTGTGTTGGTTTATTCCACATTGGCTAGAGATATAGGGGGAGGGTTGAGATCTCACAAACCATGTTTAACCCCGCCGCATTTTTGCGCCTGTCCCAAGTCAGGAACCTCTGGTCTTTGTTAGTCTTTTGTATGATTTTTAATTTTGGCTCATTTATATGTTTTGGAGTTTAGTGTGACGTCCATTTTCACTGAACTAGTATGCATTATTGTTTAGGGGCCATCTGAAGCCCGCCTCCTGGGATTTTCTCGCTGTGTTGAAGACCCATTGGTGGCCTTGGGCTGTTTTCTGCTCTTTGGTCGGGTTGTTGTCTCCTTGACACATTCCCCGTTTCCATTCTCAATTTTAGACGTATTTGTAGATCTTGGCTTGCTGCTCATTTTGCTTATTCAAGTTTCTATATATCTATCATAATTTTTTAGATATCAGGCAAAAATACAAAAAATTGGTAAAAATCGTCATAAAAGAGCAATAACTCTAATCAGGGGATGTCAAGCGATTTAAACAATGAAACTTATTTGTGGATCTTGTCTTGCTGATAATTTTTGCATTTTTAAGTTTCTATCTATCTATTATAGTTTTTCAGATATCCCAAAAAATGATAAAAATCGTCATTAAAAAAGAGAGGCGAAAGATACCAAAGGGACATTCATACACATAAGTCGAAAATATACTGACAACGCAAGGTTAAAAAAGAAAAAGACCAACAGACAAACAATAGTACACAAAACACAACATAGAAAACTAAAACTGATCAACACGAACCCCACCAAAAACTGGGGGTGATCTCATGTGCTCCAGAAGGGTAAGCAGATCCTGTTCCACATGTGGCACCCGTTGTGTTGCTCATGGTAGTACAAACTCGGTAATAAGTCTAAGTCGGTAGGTCACATTCGGGGAAAAGGGGACGGGATTGTAGTTATGACTTTTGGAACATATCCGTTATCATCTGTGAAACGGATATTCCATAACGGTCAACCAACTCGTAATGGCGTCCGTAAAATTTACGAAGGGATGATTTCAACTTTACCACTTGGAATTCTTGGTGTAATAGGGCATTTAAGGGCAATAACTCCAATAAGGAGTTGTCTGACGATTTCATTCATTTGACTTGTATTTAGATCTTGTCTTGCTGATCAGATTTGCTATTTATAGTGTCTCTCTATCTATTATAATTTTCAAGATATTAGGCAAAAATGAAACAAATTAGTAAAATTCTTCATTTAAGGGCAATAATCATCTTTAGTCAACTTTGCCTGGGGGAGATGTAACTTTACATTTATAACAAATGACATAATTTTCTACTAGACACTACACAAATATGCACAGATGAAGAATATAGAAGAGTTTTACATTGCAATACACAACCCATTACGTTATATGTACTAGTAATTAAGCTAACAACGGTACATTCTTATTAAAAAAATATGTTTTCCTTGAAGGAATCTGGCAATAGAGTTTAACTTATAACAATAAAGTAACATACTGTTAAGAGGGAAAGAGATGCTTGTTTTTTTCTTAATGCCAATCAACTAAACATTATTAATTAAAGGTGTATTGGGTTGTTTTAGTTGTACTATTTGCCTTAAACATGAAGGCAAAGCATAGCTAACATTTATTTTATTACAATCAGAAATTGTAAAATAAAACTGCTAAGAGTACAACGTTAAAGGTGAGTACAACGTTAAAGGTGAATCACTACATCCTCTTAAAAAACAGCATTAACTGTTCAAATGGCTGCATGCAGTACGTAGACAATTCAGATGGCTGTAATCAGGGAAGCGGTATGTATGATGCCCTGAACGCCTGGAGCTTCTTGTTGGTTTTAGTATGTAATTATTCTTCTTGTGAATGGCTACTATGTCATTTGTTATTTTGCAACAAACGATGAGTCGAGCTTTTTTCGCATTGTTTGTAAGCTTTTCCATCCTAGTGTCTTCATCAAGTTGCTGACACTTGACCTATTTCTATATCTGCTGGTTACATATCGAGAAGCTCGTCTTTGTAACTTTTTGATTTTATCTATGTGGTTTTATTGAAACGGGTCCCATACTGTCGTGGCGTATTCCATCTGTGGTCTTACCAATGTCTTATAAGTATGCTAATTGATGGCTTTGATCTTATGTGGAATTTTCGGTGTAAAAAACCAAGATTTGAAATTCGGCTGGCTTTATACCTGTGATATTGTTGCGTGAACCCCTGAGGGTTCACGCATATTAATTAGTTAGAAATATAGTCTATGGAGGATTATTCGGAACCTTTATTATTGTTCATTCGGAACATTTATTCTTATCTGTATTAGTATTAGCTTCCTGCAATTAAGAGCACCTCCATACGGAGTTAAGATATCTAAAACTTGGCAATAAAGAACTTTACACAGATCGCTAACTCACTTATATGCTATATGGTAATAAATGATATAGTTGATAATCTATATAGAATAAAAAAAGAAATAGATTCCCATACATATAATTCTTAAAGAATAATAATGATTCAAAACATGGACACATGTAACTCAGTCTTTCAAAAATTCATTAGATTAATCTAGAAATAATTAATGAGGCATTGCGAATGGTCAACTAGTAGGAGACATTAATTAATGTTCCTTACGACTGATCATC